TTTTTTTGTTTGTTTTTTTTATACATTTTTACTGAACTGTACCATAAATTTGTCCTATGTTGTGACATAGCAACAATTAAGAAAGAAAAAAAATCTCTTAATAATATATAAATGGCATGAGAGAGATTTATCTTAATTTTTAGACACTTATTTTCATATAGTGCTATTTATTTCATATTAAATTATCATTAAAGGGGTCCTATTATGCTCTTTTACAAAGTCTTGATTTTGTTTTGGGGGTGTACTAGAACAGGCTCTCATACTAGGTTGTTCGAAAAACACATTATTTTTCACATATTTTACATTATTACAACACCTCTCTCCCCAGTCTGGCATGAACGGCTCGAATAGTTACTGTATCAAATGAAGGCCCGCTTTCTGAAATACGAAATGTGCTGTGATTGGTTAGCTGGGCCAGTGTGTGTTGTGATTGGCAGCACTCGGCGACTGGTCGGGAAAAATCACGCCCCTTACCATAGCCACCTGCAAGCTTCAGTGTAAATATTGCTCAAAATCAAATCAATTTGAGTGCTAAACCCGGATGATTGTAACCACTCTAAATTCGTCTGCCTTGGGAAAGCTAGCGCGTCTCCGACATAGTGATAACACTCGTTGCCTTCTGTAGTGCAGCTCAACCAGGTCTCGTCCCATTCGTCGATATTTGTGATATCACAAATCCCGGAAAATATGCGTCGTAGTCCAAACGAGTCATTCGTTGTAGATGTTTTGAGATAACAAATATGCGATTCTTTTATGTGTGTCACACCATAGTACATTACGTCACACCATAGGACAGAAATGGTAGTTATTAATGTATTTCTATTTAATTTTGAACATGTCAAAAGAAGTAAGAAAGTTTAATTTTGATACAAACAATATCAAAAAATTTTTTAACAAAACAAAAAATTCTTTTCATTAACAAAAGTCAGTCTCTTAGTCAATCAGTATGTTACTGAAACTCTTCTAGGCCCCCTGCTGCATGTGCGGCACAGCTAAATATGATTGATATTCAAACGAAATTCATTAAGATGTGAATAATTTTTTTTAACTAAATGGCTACTTTTTAAGGCATCATTTTGATTCTGTTTTCTTTCAGCATCACTCTCTTAGGATCTCCTCACTTCTGCGTGGATCCCTGTTAATTTTCAGACTATATTTCCATGTCCTCTCTTTTCCACTAATTTCTCTTCCTCAATTCTCTCGTTTTCCAAAAAAAAAAAAAAAGATAACATTGTATACTTTATTTTCACGACACTTTATAACTGTAGTTACAAGTTACCTGCAAAAACATTAGAAAATAGTTTAATTAATGTAAGTATTGCATTTAAGAACACTGAAAATGATTCTTAATTCTTAATTAAAGTTTTTTTTCTGGAATTGGCTGATTTAAAATCAGGATATGGTGTCACACCAGAGACAGAGACCAAATGTATCAAGTTCCATATGCTTTCAGAAATATATGGATGAAAAAAAATATTGCTATTTACTAAAACAGACACTTGTACAATTATGCCGGAGGTATTTATTAAAATTGTTATGCTTTTCAATTATTTCTTAGAATCCAGTGATGTTACACATTCTGGCTCCAATACTATGGGTTCCACAAGGTGAATCTACATAAATAAACCGCAAAATACTGTATTATGTATGCGATCAGCCTTCAAATAATGTTCTAAAATAGAAATAAATAAATAACATGCATTTGAACACAGTGACACAGACTTACTGTGTGTTGCTGTACAAAAACCTACATTTCCTAACTTCCTTAATGAATTTCGGTGCATAAAGAGATATTTTCCCTCAGAATTTCATCTAAAGTGATGCACAATACACTTTTTCGATAGACATTTCTTCTTGAGCAGTCAAGGTTTAGTGTTTTACACAAGGACACAATATGCTTATACTAAAATGACTATTGAATTACTTCCTGTAAGGTGAGGACATTCAGTTAGGTTCCAAATAAGATCTTCCAACACTAAGTCAAACCACCCAACTCCGCATCTCCGAGATAGATAGATAGATAGATAGATAGATAGATAGATAGATAGATAGATTTGCTTTATTCTTTTTTAAGATACTTTTATCCAAATACATTTATAATTTAGGAACGTCGTCAATAAATTAATAAAACAAAAACTGGAAAAATATTTCTGAAAATCATTTATATCAAATAATAACTGTATACTCTATGGTAATATGTAATCATGCATAACAACCATGAAAGTTTATTTGAAATATCACTTAGGCATTACTGTTATACATTCAAGCCGCAATAAAACATGAATCCAGCAGATGGCACTAACATATAATATTACAGATATAATAAGCGTGGCGGCGGCTCACAGACCTCAAATGTCTCTTTAACATCTTACTGAGGAAACGTAGTGTCACATGATTTTTTGTAACCTCATGGATCCGGTTCTATCCAGTCTTAACCATCATAATACAATAATGTCTTGTTTCCTGTGTTCTTTACCTAGTCTTCACCCAATGACCTATCATGGATTATGAATATTATGACACATTTATGATTATTGCATATATGGTGTTTAGACAAGACACCAACATTTATTTATTATTTAGTTACATAGAATTATTTATTTAACTATTATTTAGAAACATAACCAAAGTAACATGACAATGTTACTGCTTAGGCTAAGCAGTAGGCCGTGCTAGATGCCTCTGTTTAAGTTAGTTAGTACTATATACACGTGGTTACAATAGTTCCTAATTGAAAATTAGGCAAGTTCAGTTCATTTTATTACATTTTTGAGCAGTTAATAGAACAACTACACTCTTGTTAGTTATATAGTATCTTTCTGGAGTTCTGATAGTTGATGGATTTCCCCCCTGAGGTGAAAACCTACAACCATTTGGTTACCAACCTAGATCTTTATCCACCGAGCTACACCACCCAACCCCAACTCTAGAGGCACACCACGATTATTTAAGTCGCAAGACTTTGCTAAGTTCAGCTATTCATGATGCAGTTGTATTTTGCTATTTTGTTTGCATCATTACAATGGCCTGCCATTATGTGTAAGCTGCTGATTTGCTCAAAACCAGGTTTACAATGTTTTAAGTCCTAAATTACTCATAACAGTTATTTTGATCTCAGGTCTTCAGGTAAACCAAAACCCATTGGAGCTTATTCTTCAACCGGGTGAACCACTGAAGGTTGTCTGCTCCATCACAGGCACTGATAACCCAAACCTCTACTGGTACCGTTGGACCCCGACAGATGGTTTCAAGCTGATGTTCAGTTCTGTCGGTGTAGGAATTGTGGATCCAGAAAATGTGGGGGATTTATCATCTAACAGACCAGGGCTTCTTCAAATAGTACTGGAGTCCAAGAGTGTAACCGATGTCGGTTCTGTTGTTTGGTTCTGTGCAGCCAGTCCCCACAGTATAACAGACCACAATGAAAGCTGTACAAAAACACTCCGGGACGAAAAGTGCTTTTTGAGTTCATTTGAAGGCTAGATTAGTTCAGAAGCTGCTTGATTGAAAGAGGTGTGAAAAAGATCTGTAAAATGTAACCCTTGTGTTGAGATTGAGTTTACTGTGTTTATATTTGGAGTCCCAGAGACCCCAAATGATTTTTGGGTGAAAACAATAATCAATTCAAAATTCATCTCTTATAAAATTATTTTAATATGTTCCTTTGGCCTAATGAAATATATACTATTTCAGTATTAACCCTGTCTTTTATCACAACATAGAAATGCATTTTTCAGAAATGTTATACATTATAGTATGGCAACTTTTTTTTTTTATGCAACTTTTGACATTTTTCATAGAGGACTTTTGAAATGTTGTTATCAAGTTGACATTTTGTTATAATCAGTTCTCATTGCAATTAAGATAAAAGTTTGTGTAATATGCTGTTGACATATTACATGAGGATTAACAGGAACGTTTCCTTGTTATCAAAGAGCACAATAACAGAATTGTATTTTTGATTTGCATTGCTTTATATCATTTACTGGAAAAACTGACAACATTTTAATGTTTTTCAAATTACTCAGACTGAGCAACTGATTCATGATGCATGAGTTCAACTTGTTCCAGAAAAACAATACAGATGTGGGGGTGTGTGGTGCAGACTGTTGATAGAATAACCTGCAAACATGCTCCTTGAATTAATCACCAGTTTCTGCACCAGTTTTGAGCAGCTTATTGGTTTCGTCTGAAGACGTGTATGAGCTTTGAGGCTTGTGTGCAGCAGCAGGTGTGTGAAAGATGCAGGCTGGAGCACGAACATCTCGAGAACGTTCTGACCACATCCTCCCCAACACCTCCACAATGCTTGCAAAGATCTGACACCACATCCTGCTTTCAGCTACAGCAACCTGCAGCAGTACAGCACTTAAAATCATCTATACACCATTCAAAGTAGAATCATTCTTCTGGATTGTATTCACATTTTCAAGCAGAAAACAAGCACATGTTATTATTTATTTATTTCAAAAGAATATAAATGTATTAACAAAATCAAGACGGTGCTGTTATTTTCAGTTGCAGTCACGTTGCTCAGTTGCAGTACTTTGTAAATGCCTTGTTCCAGGAATTTTAGAAAAGCTTCAAAACTCATTATGAGAAATGTAGAGGTCTCAATATACATTTAAAGTCTTATTTTTCTTATTGCAGTGGAAGATTCTGACATAACTTAGATAACAACCCACACTTTCCAAAAGTGCAGATTTTCCACTGAGAAAAAAAAAAACATATGCAAATATCCTGTTTCTCATAAAACAAAGGCCTCAGAATTACGTAAATGTAGAATGTTTTAGTCATAGCACAAAAATAGAACCCAAAACTCTTTATATCATTCTACTTAATTTGTTTCTCATTGTTAGTTTTTCATTCCAGACAAGTCACTACCTCCATTAAACTTTCAAGCTTTGAAAAAAAAAAAAAAAAAGTAAGAAAAAAATTATAATATGTGTGATTTGATGTCATACACAAATATAACAAACATGAATCTAGTAAATTGTCGGCAATACACAGATATTTTACACAACTTGTAAATAGCAAAGAAAGTCACTTCTGGCCTAAAGTCACAAATTTTCAACGCATCTCAGTCTTCTGGTAATTGTTTCTTCTTCGCTGAGAACTGTAGGGTAATAAATTAATATCATGTTATGGGAACACATGTATCAATCTATCTATATTTATACTTATATATTCATATACTGTACATGCATATTTGATGTGTGAGATGTGCATAATAGTTATCAGGAATTACCTTTAGTTTGCACACCACACCAGCCACAACCAGAGCATACAGCAGGCTTTTGCTGAGGAATAGGATGTAGCCAAAGCCAAGCAGTTTCAATCCTTTCGGCTTCACTAAAAACACGGACAAACAAACATGTCAGATACAGCACTTAAAGACATAAATACAAAGACTGTCAAATTAGACAACTAAATATCAGTAGTCTGCTGTCTCGTGGAATTCAGACTTAGAATATACAGTGACCCGAAAGACTATTTCGGCACGATCAGTCTCACTGCGACATATAAATATATCAAAGAAAGTGTCATCTGCAAATGTATTATTCTATATATTTACTGATGTCTACTGTCTCTGGAGCTGCTTATCGCTGAATCGAACTTGTTATATAATGAGTGAACTTTATGCAGTTATTGAACCTGATTATAACATTTGGTGCATTTTCACAAACCTTTTTGACCATTTATGGTGTTTGTGACATTGACATATTCATCTCCGTTGAAGAAATGGACTGTACAGGCGAAGCTTCTCTTGGGATCCATCCAGTCCGTGCCATTAACTTTTATTCTGCTGCTGATATGGTACATTAATGTTGTCTTGTCCTGTTGGGCTGAGGTGTCAGTTGATACACTGTCCTGTCTCTCTACGCCATTCACTTTCCAGGACACACTCATATGGTCGGGATAAAAGCCTGAGGCCACACACACTAAAGTTGACCGTTTATCATTTATCTTGTCCTGAGAGGTGTCAGTTGATACACTGTCCTGTCTCTCTACGCCATTCACTTTCCAGGACACACTCACATGGTCGGGATAAAAGCCTGAGGCCACACACACTAAAGTTGACCGTTTATCATTTATCTTGTCCTGGGAACAGATTTCTTTTGGAGAGGGTGGTAGGATCTTGACTTTAGGTAGAGTGACGTTTGCAGCTTGAGAAGGAAAGCGGAAAATCAGGAAGATTCATTTGCTACAATTACTATGTAATTACCCTTGTAGTTATTACATGCATTAATGAAATGCTTGATTTTGATTGGTCAATCACAGCAAAGGCTGATGAATTCATGTATTTATTTATTTATTTATTTACAATGATTGCAAAACTATATTTCATTGTTGTCCATGGCAACACTTTAATGAATTGCTACTTTCACGCATTTTGTATGATTTATGCTAATAATGTATGTGGATGAATACTGTATCCATCTAAAGAAATGCACACAACAACTTATATAAAGCTGCTTTGTTTAAACATACATTTAAATGTTTAGATACTTTGGTTTGTGTGTAGTTGCAAATAGTTGTGCTTTTAACACCTGTAACTTATTTTAAATACTTCTATTTTTACATTTAAGTACATACTTGTGGACTTAGTTTATTGCTTCTGAAATGTTCCCTTATTTTCTCATTGAAAATAGATTGGGAATTAACACATGCTTAATAATAATGATTTTATTGAATAAATAAACATTCATTTATTAACTAATAAATAAACATTTTACACAGATAAATCATTTTTTTATGGCCCATGCACTTCTTGTTTTCTGTATTCAATCTGTTTTTCATTTTTTCCCGTAAAATATGACCCATTTTACTGCATTTCACAAATCAAACAAGTCATCATGTCTACTAATACAATTTCTGAATTAAAAAATTCAGACTTACCCAGAACCGTCAGTTTGGTCCCTTCTCCAAATTCTAGTTTAGCATAGCTAGTACACGATGATTTATCCCATTACCTAAACCTCAACAACTAACAGCTAATAATGGGCAATGGTACACTGTTTTTGGGGGCCCCTTTTCAGTTTGAGACCATGAAAGCCATAGTGGCCTCCCAGCTGTTACCCAGAGAGGCCTCTTCTGAGCAGCAGGTATAGCAGACCGAAATTCAGTTTTTTGGTGTGCATTTAAATGTGCATTATGATCTTAACAGTAATTAAAACGAACAAAAATGGTAAATATATACAGTGGCCCCAAGAACAATCAAAACACAGAAAAAAGGATAATAAAATACCAAACCAAATATCATCTGCAGACAACTGTAGAGCTTTTCTGAGAACTAACCTCACTGCTCTTATTATTTCTGTAATTACTTTTAAACAATTAACATCCAATAGGTGTAGTTAATCATTCATTGTACTTTTATTTGACAGTCGTCAAATACATTGTATTTTCATTTTAAATAATGCATTTTTTAAATGGTATTTTAAACAAAATATACCAGATGAGGTACTTTTTTGGGAGAAAATAAAATAGAAGAAGTGTTCAGGTACAGTTCTGCAGCATTCAGTTACTCGTTAAAAAAAAAAAGAAAAAAAAAAAAGTTGTTTGTTTTATCCAGTTATTTAAGTGGTGGGAGCCTAAAATATCAATAAATAATAATCTATATGTGCAATGAGAAACAATTGACAATGCGAAAATTGTTTTCATTTTTATTTAGATGATAGAACTGTTCATTTAAAGAAGTCAAAAGTTATTTATTTCTAATAACAATGTTTTAGTGATCAGAAATAGCTATGCACTCACTAGGGGGCCTCTCTGGGAATACAAAGACCACATAGGCTACAGAATATAATCAACCAGATGCATCATTGTTACCATGTTGTTACTTAATTGAAAGCAGTTGGGAGATTATTGTCAGTCCTATGAAAGTTATTGGCTACAAACTGACTTTTACATATATGTATTTTGCAGAAGCTTTTATTCAAAATAATTCAAGGTATACAGTTTATTTGTGTTCCCTGGGAATCAAACCTGTGATATATGCTCTACCAAATGAATTACAGCTAAAATAAAAGCTATCAAAATAGCTAATTGGTGAACAATGTTGCTATAAAAATAAATGAGAATTTTCTTTGTGGATAATGTGTTAGATTTTATTTTATTTATGTGCGAAACAAATTGAATTAAACACAAAATACAGTAGCTCTTATTGTGAAAAATAATGAATTATATTCATCTCTGTAAAGTCTCTTTTAGAATTCTATGAAATTAACACTAAATACAGTAGCAAGGAAACAAGCAAAAGAATAATATATAATCAAAAAGTAGATTTTATGATTAATCTGATCTGAAGTATATGCAGGCTTTCATTGGAATAAACACTCTAAAATAAAATAAAATAAAATAAAATAAAATAAAATAAATAAAATAAAATAAAATAAAATAAAATAAAATAAAATAAAATAATAGACTCTTCAGTTATATAAACAGCATCTCTTATGGTTTGAGAAAATGACGTTTTCTTGGTAACTCCAACAATCCAGATATGTTTTGTTCATTCACTTTCCACATGAACCCTGAAACAAATATTACATAAACATTGAGACATTCAGAGAGGGGGGGGGTGTTATCTATCTATAACATCCATATAATGTGTGGATCTTTCTATTGTACTAACATATACGTGTGATCAAACATTTGACGCTTATGTTGTTAATATTCTTCCAGCACTTCTGTTTGAAATTATGGATTATAATTACAAGTTTATCATCCTTACCTTTCTCAACACGAACACAAAGATGACAAGGCCATACAGTGCACTCTTAGCAATGAACACACCGTATGCCAGCTTCATCATCTTCGATGATTTTAAATAGTCTTCTGGAGATTAAAAGATCAAATCATAGCATATTATTCAGCATATCATTACTGATAAACGTTTGACCCTAATTCATCTTTTGCAGATAGACATAAAAAAAAAAAGAAAATAACAAACCCTTACCTGGTTCATATCCAGCCCCTGTAATTAGAAAATAATTAATTAGAAGACCCAAATATTAAAATATTACAATTATTTTAAGCATGCATTGCAAAATGCATTGTATTCACAGACAGCAGTTTCTTTTTTTTTATCTTTCAACTTATGTCTATTGAAATACCTCCAGTTCCAGTGATTTCAGCAGATTCGTCGTCAGAAACATCTGTTGCTCTGTAGAAGGTCACTGTACATTTGAATGTGCTTTTTGGTGTGAATTCATTTTTAGGGACTTTAAGTCTGCTGGATATGCGGAACATTTTCGATTTTTCGTCTTGGGTGGCATAAGGGTCTGTCGCTACATCCTCTGTTATGTTTTTGCTACCAACTGTCCATTTTATGCTCACATGGTCTGGGTAGAAGTTTTCAGCCAAACACACAAGAGTGACCTTTTCCTTACAGCGCGTCTCATTTAGAATTTTTACATCTGGTTTATTGATGTCAACATCAGGATCTGTAAAATAATATAAACAAATGGCATAAATATTATAAGCATATGTAACAAAATAGTAATATAAACATACACATGAACAATTTTGGAGAGCATTTTCCCATGACATTTCAGTCTGCTAAAACTTAATCTGAAGAATTATGCAGGTTGATGATGATGATGATGATGATGACAATTTTTGTTATTATTATTATTATTATTATTGTTGTTGTAAAATAAATTCCACAATTCCCTTTATAACCCCTTTACACAATACAAAAATCCTACTAAGAACAGTTGCTTCTTCAACAGGAAAACCACATACAACTAATGTAACTAGTGTATCTGTACTCGCCACCTTTCAGTTATATGCAGCTCATAGCAACAATCTTGATAAAGCATAAAGTATATCAGCAATATTACATGCTTATAAAATCACTATATATAGTGCACAACAGCAAGAGTTTCTAAAGAACAGCTACATCATATAATCAGTTATTGGAGGGAAAAATCAGGTTACACTTTTTGGAATTTAAAGTCCAATTCTCACTATTAACTAACTATTAACTACAACTCTTGCCTCAAGAAATTCCTATTTTGCTGCTTATTAACAGTTAGTAAGGTAGTTGTTAAGTTTGCATGGGGTAGGATTAAGAGATGTAAAATATGATCATGCAGAATAAGACATTAATATGTGCTTTATAAGCACTAATAAAAACTCAATATGCTAGTGTTATCCATGCTAATAAGCAACTAGTTAATAGTGAGAATTGGTCACTAAACTAAAGTGTTATCCACAAAAAAAACTTGATTTACTTTCTTACCCAGAACAGTAAGTTTGGTCCCATTGCCAAAGTATGCAGGTCTGTTGTTCACACTGTTCAACAGCTACAGTAAAACTCTTCCTATCACTTTAACCTGATTACATTCTATAATGCATGAATATGACACTCAAAATACTAATTTTATACAATGCTATAGACCATTGACATTTGAGTGTCATATTCATGCATATTAATCAGTACCACAATGAATTTAGTACAATTTTTTTCAGAAAAACAACAAGCTTACATATCACCATATTAAATATTATGAAAAATTTTAGTCATAGTAAGGCAAGAGCTTGTCTTAAGGCAGACTATTTTCTAAACCAGTAATTCTGGTACTTCAAAACCAGACCTCAAAACTCAGCACTGTTTTTAACACTTAATGTCCTCAGAACAGTGACAATGTTTTACTTTTATGCCAGTATCTCTGATTAATTCATATCAACATACACAATTCACTTATTACAGTTTTGATTAAGAAAAAAAGACTTTGTCACATTTTTACACACACATTCTTGGAACTTACAAACTGATAAAATACCAAAAACACAAGCAAGCAAGTATTCTTACCTAAAACTGTAAGTTTGGTGCCATTGCCAAAGTATGCAGGATTGCCATAGTTCACACTGATTCTAAGCTACAGTTAAAAGCTCAACTATAGTGGAGATCATGTGAACATTATCCTACTATATTTAACTCTATTCCTAAAGACAATTTATTTACTCCAGTTAATTGACACCTTTATTTTAAATATACTATTTATACTATGCAATATCAAAATCATTAGAGTTTTTTTTTAAAGAGCAGAATGCTCCATTTACTCACCTAGAACTGTAAGTTTAGTGCCATTGCCAAAGTATGCTGGGTTGGCATTGTTCACACTGATTTTAAGCTACAGTTAAAACCTTGAGCTATAATGCAGATGCATGTAAATGTTGCCACTTATTAAACTATTTATTTATTTTTTGTAAAAGATGGATTAGCTAGTCCAAGTTTTTCAATTCACCATCATTTTAGATAATCTAATACAATTCTTTAAAATTATTAAATATCAGATTACTCATTTTACTCACCTAGAACTGTAAGTTTAGTGCCATTGCCAAAGTATGCAGGGCTGCGATTGTTCACAATGATTCTAAGCTACAATTAAAACCTCAGCTATACTGGAGATCATGTGAACATTGCCACTTATCCCACTTTATCAAACTTAATTTTTAAGACTGCACATATTTTCCGATTTTCTGATTCACGAGAACACCAAAATTGCAGATATCCTTTTGAAATATTAGGTTATGAATATCAAACATAATGTTTAAATTACTCACCTAGAACTGTTAGTTTGGTGCCATTGCCAAAGTGTGCAGGACTAAGATTGTTCACACTGATTCTAAGCTACAGTTAAAACCTCAAGTATACTGCAGAGCATGTGAACACTGCTACGTATCCTAGTTACATTTTCAAAGACTAGACCTATTCCACAATCTTAGATAACATATTAAAAATATTAAGCTTTATCATTCACACACAATAGGCCTATTCAAATTACTCACCTAGAACTGTAAGTTTAGTGCCATTGCCAAAGTATGCAGGATATCCAGAGTTCACACTGATTCTAAGCTACAGTTAAAACCTCAAGTATACTGCAGAGCATGTGAACACTGCCACGTATCCCAGTATATCTATTTCTTAAAGACTAGACCTACTCCACAATCTTAGATAACATATAAAAAATAATAAGCTTTACAATTCACACATAATATTCAAATTACTCACCTAGAACTGTAAGTTTAGTGCCATTGCCAAAGTATGCAGGATTGCCAGAGGTCACACTGATTCTAAGCTACAGTTAAAACCTCAGCTGCAGCTGGATTCATATAAACAGTTCCACTTATCCCACTACATCTAACCTAATTTTTAAGACATAATAACATTCTCAAGAACTGCCAGTGCATCCAATACCAATACATCAATTTTTGATATGATATAGCAATTTCACTTTTGTTAATGACCTCCAATGTTATGAATATCAATCAATTAAACAGTATAGAGAAGTTTTTTTTTGTTTGTTTTTGTTTCTTACCTAGTACAGTTAACTTTGTTCCATTGCCGAAATAAGCCTGGCCAGCACCAGTGTCACAGCACACATGTGCACTAACAAATTTACCCAAGACACCAATTGCTAAAGCCCTAGCTTAGTTTTTTACTCGAATGCCCTGTGAATATCAACTATCTACTACAGAACAATCGTTTTATTACAATGAGTAGTGATTTAGTGATTTATATAACAGAGAGATATAAAAAAAAGCAATATAATTTTGAAAACTCTCAAAAAATAACCTTCTTTTAGACCTGAACATCAGATAAACATGGTGTGTTCCTAAACATGCTAGTAAGTTCAGAAATATTATCCAAATTACTCACCTAGGACTGTAAGTTCAGTACCGTTACCAAAGTGTGCTCCACTAGCCATGTTCACACTGATTCTATGCAACAGTTAATACCTCAAATAGTCAACATCATAAATTATTTTATTTACTGTACCTCAATACATCTAACTTCATTTTAAATAATGCTTATCTAAAGGTAACTGAGAAGCATTCCAGTTCGATTAAAGTCAATTTAATATTATTTTAGATATCATAGAGCAACATTCTATTTTTTCATAATTTGTCAAGTGCATTGCGCCTTGTCTAGCATAAAGATGTCATTGGCAATCAATGAAATAGCATGCACATTTCTGAATATTCTTACCCAGAACAGTGAGCTTCGTTCCATTGCCGAAATAAGCTGGATAACCACCAGTGTCACAGCATACATCTGCACTAACAAATTCACTCAGGGTGCCAAATTCAAGTCCCTTTTTTTTAGCTTAAATGGCCCATGAATGCTGCTCGACTACATCCAACTAATTTACCGAGATTACTTATGACAAGTCTGCTCATTTCAGTCATTTCATAAATGTAACACTCAAACATCATAACTTAGAAGAATCATTGCATATTAAAGTCAATAAATAACAGAACATCGCATAGCTACATTTCTGTATATCTAAGGTTTTGCATATAACACAGAATACTGAAATTACTCACCTAGAACTGTAAGTTTAGTGCCATTGCCAAAGTATGCAGGACTGGCAGTGTTCACATTGATACTAAGCTACAGTTAAAACCTCAGCTACAGTCGAGATCATATAGACTTTGCCACTCATCATCTAACATAATTACTGTATGGAAATTAGATTTGTCTTACCTAGTACAGTTAACTTTGTTCCATTGCCGAAATAAGCCTGACCAAGACCAGTGTCACAGCATACATGTGCACTAACAAATTTACCCAAGACACCAAATGCTAAAGCCCTAGCATAGGTTTTTACTCGAATGTCCTGTGAATATCTACTATAGAACGATTATTTTAGTACAATGATTTACAATATAGTGATACATCAGAGAGATATACAAAAAACTATATCATTTTGAAAAATAATCTCCTTTTAGACCTGAACATCAGATGAGCAGAATGTGTTCCTAAATATCCTAGTAAGTTCAGAAATATTATGCAAATTACTTACCTAGGACAGTAAGCTTAGTTCCGTTACCAAAGTATGCTTCACTACCCATGGTCACACTGATTCTATGCAACAGTTAATACCTCAGATAGCCAAAATCATAAATGATTCTACTTACCTCAATACGTCTAGCTTTTTAAGACATTTTAAAGAAAGATTGTCTCAGTATTACTGAGAAGTGTTCCAATTCAGCTAATTGATTTAATTTGATTTCACACAGCAACGTTAAGAGTAAATTGTTACTAACCTCCATTTGACATAATTCAGCGCATTGTGCTGTACTGTCTAGCATAGGCATGTCTATGGCAATTAATGAAATAGCATGAACATTTTTTAATATACTTACCTAGAACAGTGAGCTTTGTTCCATTGCCGAAGTAAGCTGGATAAGTACCAGAGCACAGCATACATGGGCACTGACAAATTCACTGAGGATGCCAAATCCAAGGCATTTTTTTAATTCAAATGCCCCATGAATGCTGCTTGATTATATTGAGCTAATTTACTTAGATTACTCATTCCTAGTGTGCTTATTTGCGTCATTTCATAAATATAAAACACGAGCAGCATAATTTAAGTTGCATATTAAAATCGATAAATAACTGAACATCACATTGCTACATTTCTGCAATATTCTGATTTACATATCACACAAAATACTCAAATTACTCACCTAGAACTGTAAGTTTAGTGCCATTGCCAAAGTATGCAACACTGCCAGTGTTCACACTGATACTAAGCTACAGTTAAAACCTCAGCTATAGTCAAGATCATGTAGACTTTCCCACTCATATTATCTGACATAATTAAAAAAAAAATTTTTTTTCTTACCTAGTACAGTTAACTTTGTTCCATTGCCAAAGTAAGCCTGAGAAGCACCAGAGTCACAGTGCACATGTGTACTAACAAATTTACTCAAGACAGCAAATGCTAAAGCCTATGTCATGCACATAGAATATTATTTTGAAAACTCTAAATAGTGTACTTAATAAATAACATTTCCTTAGGTCTAAACATCAATATACTCAATTTACTCACCTAGAACTGTAAGTTTAGTGCCATTGCCAAAGTATGCAGGGTTGTAATTCACACTGATTCTACGCTACAGATCTCAAATCGAATATTGAAATTGCACTGTATTTTTCCACAATATTTCAGCATAGTTTATCCTTAATGGACAACCATCAGCCACTTGAGCTCAACAAATGTTTTTGTTAATTGTCTAATATTCCCATGTAGGCCTACATATTAGTGTAGTTAAAAGTGTTTCTTACCTAGAACTGTTAATTTTGTTCCATTTCCAAAGTGTGCTTGATAAGCATTGTCACAGTGAGATGGTATGCGCAAATGTACGACACAAGCTATGGTACAAATTATTTGAAACATTTGGGTCTGATTTGGAGGCCCCTTCCGTACTGCTGTCATAGTTTAGTTAAAATAGAATATCAAAGATATGAGCTTTAAAGAAAACTATAAACGTAAAAAAATATATACCTAAATTAAAGTAAACTTACCTAAAACTGTCAGTTTCGTTCCATTTCCGAAGTATGCTTGCAAACCAGAGGCACATTGTTTCAGAGTACTCCGAAATTTGCATTAGAATTCCTTTTTTTCCATGATTATATGAAAGTCTGTTAATTCCATAATAGTTGTCTCCCAGGAGGCTGTTCAATGTAAAACCATGACAATCCAAAATATGCATTGATTGAAAGGAAAATTATCAAATTATCCAGTCAGGTCCAACCTTAAGTATCCACACATGTATTTACCACTGATAAAATGTGTTTAAATATATAAAAAATGCGATAATTGCTCAAAACATTAGTGATCTTCCTCTCCTAGATATCTACTATATGTAATGTTGAAATCCATAGCAGTGTTTGCAGTGTTTGTACTATTTGTCTCTGTCTAATTGACTGTATATGGAGGGAGGATTTTGTACAGCGGCTCTATGGGATTGTATCACCGTGGCCCCCTGTCCCCACGGTGCTAAAACATTATACAAAAACAAAAAATTCTCCTTCTCTCTTCCCCCCCACTCTCCCCCCAACACCCATTTTTATCTTTATTTTTCATCATTCTCTTGCACATGTTGTTTTTTATGTCTATCTGTATACAGTCTATGTTGCTATTTCTGTGATTACTGAGAATTTGGGCAGGTGCAGATGCATCCACCTAAAAATGTCTCTATGACAGTTTGCCGACCCCTCCCACATCCTCATCAAACAATCATTAGAGTATAGAGAGATGACAAGAACTGTATCTGTTCAATGTTTAAGCAACAGACATTCACAAAAATCTTCCAAAAAAAAAAATGTATTAGCAAAATAAATCTGAATGATTTGTTTATTCTTTTTTTCCCCCATGAAACAGTTATGAAAAAGATTTATGATAAATAAAAAAAATTTTAAATTAATGTCAAATACACCTCTAATTAATCTAATCACTGTAAACAAAAAAAATCTGTGACATTTACGGTAAAATACCGGCAGCTGTGGTTGCCAGAACTTCATCGTAAAAAATATGGTAGCAACATTTTAGGTTTTACAGACTTAACTTTTGTACTGATCACACTGATTCTATGCTACAGATGAAACCTCCTCAAGATCTTTCCTACATATTTATCTGTTTTTGTTTTTAGTAACTTGGAACACAACACTATGGCAATTGACAATCAATTGCCTAAGCATGCTGTCTAACTCTAATAAGTGTTAAGAATAAGAAAACATCCTATCTTAGTTGAACTACTAAGCATACATTACAAAATAATAGTTTTTTTTTTTTTTTTACATTTTTATAAAGGTCAGCTTAGTAATATACATTTTGTTTTATGTCTTACCAAGAACTGTTAACTTTGTTCCATTGCCGAAGAAAGCTTGACCTCCGCCAGAGTCACAGCATACATATGCACTAATAAAATTACTCTGACTTTATGGACTTAAGTCTTGCAGTTTGTCTAAACATTGAGGCTTCAGAAATGCTTAGCCATTTATCTATGCTGAGGAAGATGTTTTCTAAATCCCAGTGTCAAATGATATCCCTGAACTTAGACATTTTTCTTAGTTTTCTTGCTATGATGCAGAAGACTATGCAAAATAAAGTCAAAATGTGTCTTACCTAGTACTGTGAGTTTGGTGCCATTACCAAAGTATGCAGGGTCGTAGTTGTTCACACTGATTCTACGCTACTGATAAAACTTCCTCTACTCTTAATAACATCTACATGCCATCACTAATTCCACAATACAAAAATTACTTTTCAAATTAAATTTTTGCATCAAATCAAATTGAGTTTTGCGTCAGAAATAACCATCAGAATGCATGTAATTAGCGATTTTGATTAGAAGCCTCATATTTAATTAAGCATTGCCATTTAAACCATATGAAATGTGTTTCTTACCAAGTACAGTCAACTTTGTTCCTTCGCCAAAATGAGCCTGAGCAGTAGTTGACACAGCACACATAAGCACTAATAAAATATCTAGGATATCTGCCAGGTCTGGACACTGATCAGTGGCTTGTTACAGACTTATTTCCAAAAGAATTATCCACAAACGTCAGCACCTAATAATATTTATCCAGCAAATTCAGTCAAAAATGTCTCACCTGTCACTGAAAGTTTAGTCCCACTGCCAAAGTGTGCAGAACTGTACTGATTACACTGATGTTAAACGACTGTAAAAAACTAAAGATTTCACACTAACTGCATCTAAACCACACTGGCTATAATAATGTTAACATTCGGAATAAAACAATGATTCAAACACACTGGCTAACAATATTTTGCAAATCTTAGATGGTGTTGAACGTCACAAACAAGCCAAGAGCTGAATTTGAGCAAAACAGCAGTCACTAGACATAATAAAGATATTACTTTGCCAACCATTGTTGATGCTTTTGCGTCATTCAACTTAATAGTTATACAAGATTTATAATCAGAAGCATTGTTTTTCTTACCTAAAACAGTAAGTTTGGTGCCGTTTCCAAAATACGCTGGCGTGTTTGAGCACAGAGTATCAAGACAGTATCACAAACTTCTGTCTCACACAACCTTACTCAACTATATTATGTAATTCCCATTGGTAATTGTATGTAGCAAACACATTCCTTGCATTTAATTCGTCTTTTATGCTTACAAAAATATTGTACTTACCTAGAACAGTCAATCTTGTCCCCTCACCAAAGATAGCCTGGCTGGTTCCAAAGCACATCATGCAGGCTCACTGATAAAATTACTTGAACTTCATAACCCTTACAGTTAACTAAATCTACACTACATTTAGTTCTGTGATACATTTGCATTCTCTGTTGTCTCAAATGACACATTTTATGTTTTTAATCATGTTGTTTGAAATTATTAACTTATAAAAGAGTTGCACAGTATATTCATCAAGGTTTCCAACTGAAACAGAAGTAGTACTTACCAAGAACTGTTAATTTGGTGCCGTTACCGAAATAGGCTTGATAATTGGCAACTGATTCAGTATTCAGAATTCTTAAAAAAGCCAAACTCATCCTCACAAAACCAGTGCTTCGCTCATGTTGTTGCCCTTTCCAGTGTTCAGTTTTTCCTGAAAAAAACATTCTTCAAAAGTGTTCTATATGCATCTGTATTTTCATAAGCAGTTCCAAGTAAATGAATAACTGCAATAAAACACCTGATGCCACTATCTATAAAAGTTTCAGCTAAATAAATTCAGTACTGCAATTCTATTATAATGCCATAGCAATGTTTATATTTTCTCAAAGTCATGTAAAACTACATTACACAAATTTATTTGTAATTAACAACTTCTATTTAACTTAAAGACTCAACAAACAGCCTAGATGTAAAAGAAATGAACAGAAATGCTTATAATATTGCAGTTTGTGAAGCACTGCACCATGTTCCCTCTCTTTATGATACTGTTAATAAAACAACTGCAATATTGTAACAAGTACCATATAGAGACTCTAATAACTAAATTATTTTCAGTCAGAGCACAGTTTTAATTGTGTAGCTGAGTGATTATAAAACATCTCAGTCGTTCTAAACATTACGTACAGCATCCTTTCAATTCAAAAGAATTCAAAACCTGAACATTTTGATTAGTGACTTTTTCTCTTAGTGGTAAGTAACAGTGTTCTATTATATAATAAAATAATGATTAATTGTTCCAGCGTGTCAATAAGACATGCTAAACTAATCAAAAGTAACATTTTAAGCACTTTATTGCTCATGATTGCATAATCAGACTACAATGGCGACGTAACGGAATATATCAGGGATTGAATGCATCATCATGCCATCTGCTGCTGTAAATAGAGTATAAAAACAGTACTAAATTTGCTCATATCATCCTGCAGAGGTCAGCATATGATCTTTAATCCAGAGGATGATCAATCATATTAAATTGTACTGCTCTTCTCAAAGCAAACTGTATTAATGGTGCAATACTGCAAGAAGAGCTTAAAGGCAAGAAATATCTAATAAATGATAATTAAATTGCAAGAGTTATGAACATGTCTATGTTCAGAGCTAGAGATAAGAATGCACGTGAAAATGAAAATAGGTTAGAAAACTGAAAATATGAATTGTAAATCTGAATTCATAATTATAAATCTGATTATACATAAATCACTTTGAATCTGAGCAATGTTCCAAGAGATACTGTATTTAGTCGACTGGGACTGTATTTAGTCCACTGGGATTTTTCACTGTTTGTAGTTTGTCTGTGTTTGTTCCAAACAAACTGTCAATTTGTGCACATTAGAGACAGGGATTTTTCAGTTTCTCTTACTGCAGGTTACATTGTTGCACAAGTAGATGGCATCAAGTGACTGGTTTTTTGAGATATTAACTGAATAATACACTCGCACGCATCAATTCAGTCAAAAATGCATTTTCATTACTAAACACCAATCATGTGTTGGTCAGTTACTTACTGTTTACTAAACCATTACACAGAAAGACTTTACAAAAGAGGAAAAAAAGATAGATGAATTACAGCAGTCAGGAGAGAAAGTTCACATAGCCTATATATTGTCTCAAAGGACTAATTTATGTATTTTAAATGTACAGTATCTTATTCCTTTGATGGCAAGGCTGAATTTTCAGCAGTCATTATTACAGTATCACCTGGTCCTTCAGAAATCATTCTAATGTAGAGATTTTGTGTGGTTTGTATAACTACGCGAAGGCACATCTGATACTTTTCTCTCATCCACGCTTTTATTGGATTGAGGTCTCACCACTGGTTTATAAGATAGTTTGATAATGTAATATTCTGTAATATTCATCATGGAAGTTTACATAAAAAGAGCAGACAGTGAATGTGTGAATTGGTATTTGTGCAGTCCTTTGACAAGGTGCAGATAGTGAAGGTGCTGGTGATTAGGGAGGAATACTTTATCTGTGTCAACAAATATCAAAAATACAAATAAATTAAGGTAGATATATGTTAATTGTGAAAACATGCAATCACACCCTGCGAAAAGGGTCCATATAACCAAATTATGTTTATTTCATAAACATTGCAACAGACATTCAGCACTCAGTTTGGAGCTTTCAAATATGACAAATTTGATTTTAAAAATCTAAGACATCTTTTATATATTAATACACATGCATAGGTCCTATAAATACTAGTATGGTAATTCATGTTTATTATTAGATGAATATTACTGTATATCATCCTTCCTCAAACTCTGATATGTAAAGGGTGTACATATGAGTTTTGTACATATGAAAAGGAGATCAAGAATAGTATATCCCACAACCAGCTTGATTATCATATATTTTCTCTCTGATCACCGTGGCTCAGGTTGAGGTTATTGTTCAGGTGTTTGGCTAAGTTAAGGTACTGTGCAATGCTTGAGGCGCAGAAATAAATACCCGAGTCCTCCTCTGTTAGATTCTTGATCTCCAGTGAAGATTCTTTAATTTCAGGACGTTCCATTATGTATTTTGTTTTTGTGAATGGGGCAACTGTTTCTTTTGAATCTTTTGCAAGAGAAATAGCAACAAGGGACAGTTCACCTTGACCTCTCTGTCTGTACCAGTACATATAATAATAGCTGCCATCATCGTGGTTACATTTTAAAGTAACCTCTTTATCACGTTGAATAATCAGTTGAGTTTTACTAACTTGATCATTCTGAATGATGGTTATTCCTCCTAATGACTCTGTTGGGTAGAAAACAATTGATTATAGCTATTTTCATAACAACAATATTGATTTATAAATGATGGATAGACTTACTAATAACTAGCAGCAAAATAAACCCCAAACACAGCAGTCCCATGACATTAAAGAGGAGAATCCACTCCTTACTGTCTCTCAGCCCTTCTAGATTAATTTTGACTATCCTGTTTAGTGTGTCTATGATCAAAAGGAACAGGAAATTACATCATAAATGAGAGATGAAAGCACGGTGCAGTGTTGACTTTGTGGTTGTTGTTTAGCAGTGCAGCTGTAATATGATACTGTGTGCTCGTGGCACAATAATAGAGAGCTGAGTCTTCAGTCTCTAGATTGTTAATCTGCAGCGTGGACATCTTTATTTCAGGACGGGTTGCTGCATACTTAGAATCTTGAGTTTTAAATGGTTCTTCAATATACGCCTGATTTTGGCCAGCAGAAAATACCAATAAAGACAACCCCACAGTCCCCTTTGCTTGCTTGTACCAGAACAATCTGTAATGGTCAGAATTATCATGTTGACATGTCAATGTCACAGTTGAACTCCTGTTGGCAAACATTTCTGGCTCTTGGAGGATTTCTCCATTGGATTTATCTGGAAAACAGGTTAGTTGATGAAGATAAAGATAACTGTTGTAATTGTTGGTAACCCTTGTGAAAAAAAGTGTGCTATATAGTATTGAATGTGCATTGTCAGTGTACTTCAAATCTTAAAGATATATTTAAACAAAATGTACTTGCAGATAATATAATATTAATTAAATAAAAGGCCACTTAAGTCTATTTAAAGTGAGTTTAAATTTAAGTACACTGTTAAAGTGTACCTTGTTATTATTAATGCCATCATTAGTAATAACATACTAAATCATTAATTTTAACTGTACTGTGTTATTTAGTATTATATTTAAAGTTAATATGTTGTAAATGTACTAACTTAATCATACAATGTGTAAATACAAATATTTGTAAAGAGATAACATGCAACTTTCAATA